TGGTTGAGGCACAACATGAAAAGAAACATGTTCAAAGAACATAATCAGAGTACTTTGCAGGGAGCTGTCAGCAGTTGGACCACAAAGAGTGGCGAACAATAGTGCTTTTTGTAGAGTCACATAGCAAGTGATCATCTTCTGTTGGTAACTCCGTGGCCACAGATGGATGGAGGTCACTGGAGCCCTCCATACCTCCTTCACCCAGGCACAGAACTGTTTCTTCAAACATGTCAGAACAGTCTGTTGAGCTTGTAAGGGTTTTTGGATCTTCCATAGCTGCTGTACCGGAGTTTAGTGTCTTTCAGTCTGTAGGGATCGGAGGCTCAAGTAAGAGAGGAGGCAAGAACCATTCAATGGGGGGCCTCCTGTATAGGTAAAATATCATTCGGGACAAGGGGCTTTCGATCCCCTGCAAGTCTGGTGGAGTCTGGTGATCACTTACCACAAGGTCTCAGTAGATTGTGCTGGAGCTGTTTCTTTATAGGATTGGGCCCCTCTGAGACTACTTCAAACACTGGTGTCAGTGGAAAGGGCACTTTTTCAGCCCAATAAGGGATATACTCCCAGTTGGCCTCCAGCTTACTGCCCTTGGCTTTTTTTTTTGTATATTACACCAACATCTGGTCCAGGTTCTTAACATGGTCCACAAAAGTTTTGAAGAAGATGATGATATCATCCAAGTAGATTAACAGTCTCAAAGCTGAAATCTCCCAGGCACTGCTCCATTTAAACGTTGGAAATGTGCTAGGGGTATTACTGAGTCCAAAGGAAATGCAGTTAAATTTGAACAGCCCCAGGGGTGTGATGAAGGTAGTCTTTTCATCATCTCGATCTCTTTCTGGAACTTGCCAATAACCACTAGCCAGGTGAAGGGTGGAAAAAACTTAGTGCCATAAGTGATTCCTCTACCCAGGGCAATGGGTAGGCATCCCTATATGTACAGGCATTTAACTTGTGGTAGTCCACACAGAATCTCAGGCTTCAATTTTTTTTTCACACCAGGACCATGAGAGAAGCCCAGGGACTACAGCTCTCCCGTATCAGCCCACTCTGTAACATATTATGGAGCAGATCCTTGACCTCCTGACACCAGGCCAGAGGAATGTGGCAGTACTACTCCCCCTGATGGATTACGTATTCCCCATATGGATCAGGTAATTGATGGTTTCAGTAAACCTGAATTCTTCCAGGCCGGTTGCCCCCAGCTTGAAAAGCTGCACCAAAACTTTCCCTTTTGTGGATCTTGGATAAGGTGCAAGCAACTAGCCACTCCCCTGGTGCCACTGAGCACTTTCGGGGGTTCCACCATCACCATGGCCCCTTGGAGCTTTTTGTGGGCTTCAATGGGTATCAGCCAGACCACTTCTTCAAGAAGTGCCAGGAGCAGCTTTTGCTTAGAAATAATGCGGACAACAACCACCACTAGTTTGGGATGTTTACCCTTTGCCCACTGTTGGGCCTCATAGGCCAGAATCATGTTGAGCCACACTGCCTGAAGACCACAGCCCTGAACCTAGCAAGCAGGGTAAGTCTAAATCTTTCAATACGTTCATGCCCAGAACAACAGGTACAGCTGAGCTTACTGGGTAACGGCTCACAACACCCCCTACTCGCTCCTCTCCATATGGAAGAAAAATATATTTGAAATATATTTTAAAAATATTCTTCCCAAATATATTGACATATATTTGAAATACTACAATTTTGGCCATATTCAATATATTTCAAAATATATTTTTCAATAAAAAAAACATATATATATATATATATATATATATATATATATATATATATATATAATAATATATATATACTGCATGTTGAAATGCGTTTTTATTATAAAATATATGAAAAATATTTTTTAAAATACATTTCAAATATACTGTATGTCTTTAAAAATACAAATCTACATTTTTGGAAAAAAGACAAATATAAGTCAAAACATATGTTAAAATGGCTTTTTTATATGTTAAAAAAAATCTGAAGAATATATTATATTTTTAAATATATTTTTCATATATTTTGTAATATATAAAAAACGCATTTCAGCATTCAGTATATATATATATATATATATATATATATATATATATTGCATGTTGAAATGCGTTTTTTTACACAAGGAGACTCTTGTACATTTGTGGATGGAATTTAAAATGAATGAATACAGCAATGTAATTATACTTATATATTTATACCATAGGCATAATGTCCTATTTAAGCATCCTATCATGATTTGAACCCCGCCTTTCTTGCTTGTACACCAATTGTAACAGATATGTAATGTTTGTTTATGGAAATTTAAACATTTTGTGTTAAATAAAATATGGTTCTAAACTTTTACAAACCTAATGGTCCTATATGCCCTTTTTTCTGCCATAAAAATCCCATAAAAAAGAGGGTTTTTCCTATGTGGTTTTATAAGGGATGATGGCACTACTTGTTACCACACCCGCTATTTTCTACTCACTTCAAGTCCAAGGACAGAATGGTTGCCTCCTTCCAATCTTCCAAGTGAGTGCCTGCCTCCAGCTTGGGTTGGCGCAATCCAATCCCAGGAAAGAGACTGGACCCATGTACTCTCAGAATATAAATATCACTCCCAGCATTCAATGGGGTTGCCTTCCCCTGCAATTAACCAGGGCTGTATCCATATCTATGCTGTTCATTTTGCCTAGCCCCTACTCATGTTCTGGCTACTCTCATAGCTTCCCAAAGGTGGGCAGAACACAGACAAACTCCAACAGCACCAGAGAAGCATGAGCAGACCTAACTGTTAAGCAGAATACCACACTGAATTTACCTGACAACTTCTCTGGTAAGCAGAGAAACACAGCTATGCCTAACCTAACTATACACATCCTAACACCTGACTAGGAGGGTGCTACATACATATTCCTGCACCAGTACAACTGTATCCACCACAATGTCATGGAAAGAGATAGGTTGTGCACTCCTGAATGGTCCACCTTGCATTCCCACCATGAACAGGTCCCTCAGTAAATGGTCTGAAGAGAGAGAGAGAAAGAGGGAAGAGAGAGAGAGGGAGAGAGAGGGGGAAGAAAGAGAGAGGAAAGAAAGAGAGAGAGGGAGGGAGAGAGAGAGAGAGGGCGAAGAAAGAGAGAGGAAAGAAAGAGAGAGAGGGAGGGAGAGAGAGGGGGAAGAAAAGAGAGAGGAAAGAAAGAGAGGGGGGGAAGAGAGATACAGGGGAGAGAGAGAGAGAGGGAAGAGAGACAGGGAAGAGAGAGGGGGAAAGAGAGAGAGAAAGAAAGAGGGAAGAGAGAAAGAGGGAGAGAGAGAGATAGAGAGGGAGAGAGGGAGGAAAGAGAGAGGGGGAGAGGGAAGAGAGAGAGAGAGGGAAGAGAGAGATAGGGGAGAGAGAGAGGGAAGAGAGCGAGAAAAAGAAAGAGGGAAGAGGGAAAGAGGGAGAGATAGAGAGGGAGAGGGAGAGGATAGAGAGAGGGGAGATGGGGAGAGAGAGAGGGGAGAGAGAGAGAGAGAGGGGGGAAGAGAGGGAAGAGAGGGAAGAGAGAGAGGGGGAAGAGAGAGAAAGAGAGAGAAGAGAGAGAAGAGAGAGAGAAAGACGAATGAGAGAGAGAGAGAGAGAGAGAGAGAGAGGGGGGGGGAGAGAAGAGAGGGAGAGAGAGGGAGGCAACCCTTGGAGGAGGTGGGGGAATCATACTGTGTGTGTGTTAATAGCCAGCTCTGCGATCAGCTGGACAGGAACCTGATATGGGCAAGCAGCACTTTCAAATCTCTCCTCCCATTCAGACAGTGGAATGTTTGAGGATGTATCCTGCCGACTGGTGACTGGTGCCAAGTGTGGGAAGGTGCAGTGTGGTGCGATGGCAGTTGCAAGCACCGTACTTGTATTAAAGTCAAAGTTCAACTGTACAGTCTGGTGGAAAGGCCCTCAAACAGGAAGACTCACATGTTGTAACAGCGATGTAAAATAGAGCAGGTATAGGATGCGCTGGCAGTATCTGTCTCAGAGGGCAGAATGTGGCCTGGCGGATCTGCACCCAAATGGAAGGATTCCAGCAAGGATGGCATGTCCCTATTCTATCCCTACCACTATTCACTTTCCCTGACAGATGGGTCCCTGCACTACCCACTCACAAAATGTGAGTCAAACCCAGGAGCCAGGATCTTAAATAACCTCTGTCTGAATGAAGATGGCCACCATAGTCACATGGGGTGGCAGAATCTAAAAGGATAGCTTTCCCAATGACCCAGGAAACCATAGAGGATCATTGTTTTTCCTGACCTCCTCTCCCTCTGCTATGCCCTTGCAGTTGACCACCAACTGCAGTGAAAAAAGTAGACTGCACCTGCCTACAGAGGTACAGGTAGATAGCTGTACAGAGTGTCTGCAGTAGTCTGACATTGCATCTGTAATCCACTGATTTTGGGTGCAATGCTTTGCAGGCTCTATTATATTAAAAAATAATACATGCAAATTTTTTTAACCTGCAAAATCATGTGTATATATTTATTTATATATATATTTTAAGGTGAAAGTAGCCTTTAAATTACTGGTGGCATATGGCTCTATTAAGCAAACAGTGTAAAGAGCTAAAAACAAGGAGCCCATCCAATTGTGCTGCAACACACACGTTTTGTGTTGATGCAGGTTGTGTTAGGCCATCCACTCATTTTGAAAAGGCTCTCAATGCATGACAAAATAGATACTGCACATTTTTTTATTACCATAGTGAAATTCAAAACAGCACACACAGCTTATGCACAATACTTTAGATATGTTTTGGGCTGCAAATAGCTTTAAACAGCAATGTAGCAGAATCAGGGGCAGACTGACCATTTGGAAACTCGGGCAGTGCCCGAGGGCTCAGGGTCAGTAGGGGGCCCCATGAGATGCCCCTGGTACCTTTTTCATAGGCTTTCTTGAGTTTGGGCAAGGACACAGGGGCCCCATGATCCCCTATTGCCCGGGGACCCCATGAATTGTCAGTCCGCCCCTGAGCAGAATGCAAATCTACAGTACATTGCGGTGTTGCATCTTATACTATGTTATGGTGTGAAGAAGTGCTAAATACTAGACACAGTAGCCCACAGCAGCCAACCAGTATTTATTTTGCTGAAATTAGCCCAAAACAAGATGAAATCTTACTGGTGATTATGATAACTGCCATTGCCATATGATTTGCTCTATTTTATTAATAAGCCTGATAGTGGCAAATGGTACAAATAAATACACTTAACATCAAAAGTTCAGATACCTTGCTGAAATTTCAGCTTTTGTTTAGGCTGAAATGAAGGGAATTAAGACAGACTTTATTAGATTAAACAAAAGCTGAAAAAGCTTTGACCAACAGGAGTGCCTAAAGTCATACTGTGCAATTGTTGCAGAATTTTAAAAAGGTATGTAAAGGCTGCTGGAGCACTGAGAACTGAAACCTTTTGCTTTTGATGAGCTTTCGAACTGGAGCTGTGCTAAGCTGAAAAAGTCTGAGTTGTTCAAAGCCCTGTATCGAATTCATATCTGCTCTTTTATAAACATCAATTCAAATACAGGTTTTTGTTAAATCTCTCAGGCGTTCGGTGAGATCACCACACTTCTTCCCAGGTCTGCACTCGATTAGGTAGGGCATTACTCTAATAATCTATTCTATATTAAAGAGGATACAAAAGAGGAAGCTGAGACACCCAGATGTGCATGAGAAAACCCAGCACCCCAACGTGAGCCAGAACAGTAAAGAGGAGATCCTTCAAACAGATGATCAAGAGATGTAAGAACCTGAAAGGATTTATTCCACCAGGCTCCAGCAGCAACATTTTAATTTTGGGTAGAGTGACTCTTTAAAGTGTCCAGACTATGAAAGTATTAACATATTTTTTTATAAGCAGTAAAGGAGCTTTAACCCATTTAATAACATGCATTTTTTAAGTTTAGATGCCTGGACCAGGCTTAGCAGTATCAGTATCCATCATTAACTTAACTAATTTAACAGGGGTGATGAGAACCAGGAACACACAGTAATGAATTCCTAGTTTTCTGCTGCAAGATGCATTACCATTCTTAGGACATTTTGACCTAAAAAGGCATATTGTGGTCACAAAGGAGTTAAAAAAAAAGCCCTCACTGATTTCTGTAGCTGCAAGTACTGTGGAGTAACTAACCCTCAAAGATCATATCAGAGACTATGAAGACAGGTTTCAGTCCTTTTCCAACAGCTTGCTTCTATTAGAAGGTTAACAGACTGCTAAGTCTCTGCTGTCAAAGAAAATAAGAGTGCAAATAGCTGTGGTTTCAATGCGTCTCATGAACTTTGAAGGATAATTTCTTGATAGCGCCCATAGCTATAGAGGTCCTCAAGTGCTTGTTTTAAAGATATGTTTTATTTAAATGGGCCCCCAGGCAGTGAACAAAATGAATAGTACAAGATATGTGAGCGCACAAGGAGATAGTAAAAGCCGCTATGCACGAAGGTAACCAAAAAACCTTAATCATACAATAAAAACATGTGCAGCGCTAAAAAATATATAAATATGAATGAAGTAAAAATATGTAAGAATATTAAAATATTTAAAAATAATGAGATAATGATAATAAATACAGTTCATAAATATTTCATGAGTTAGAGGTGTTCTTTAAGGTGCTTGCTTCATGAGATCGGTGACTGTGCAAGTGATATATAGAATGCGCACTCACCGGACGCGCATATAAAATGCACCTGTATCAAATCCAATTGAGCATCACAGCAAGTCAAGGATGGGGGATATCTTCCCTCCAAGGGTTAGATTGTCATCAGTGGGATCCCAAGAGATGTTTAGGGGGTGATCCACATCTACCAGAGTGTCCCCCAAGGGGTTACACAGGTGCTGCTCCCTGAGCAAGAGGTCCCTTCTCTGGGTAGAGGATGGTCAGCTGTCTGCAAGTTAAAACAGCTTGTGCAGTGATCCCTTGGCCATGGCAGAGAAGCGCTCCTCAGACATGTCTATGTGATGATCAGATGAGTTCTTCTACACACGTCTCTGCCTAACACCGATCTCCAAGTATCGATCATCAACTGCTGTGATGACCGATTGGATTTGATACAGGCGCACTTTATATGCGCGTCCGGTAAGTGCGCATTCTATATATCACTTGCACAGTCACCGATCTCATGAAGCAAGCACCTTAAAGAACACCTCTAACTCATGAATTATTTATGAACTGTATTTATTATCATTATCTCATTATTTTTAAATATTTTAATATTCTTACATATTTTTACTTCATTCATATTTACATATTTATATATTTTTTTTAGCACTGCACATGTTTTATAGTGAACAAAATGAGAATACTGCAAAGCTGTCCTTTTACAGTGTTTCTTTGAAGACACAAGATGCTCTCAGTCTTTTGGGTTGAGTGATGCCCAATGTCATTCAACTCAGAAGACTAAGGACACACTATAAATGCAGGACATCATGGACTGGGGGGCATCACCATGGCACTCCTCATTTATAGTGTACTGAAGCAGAGAGCAGTGCAGACATCATCAACTCTGAAGACTGACCACTATTGGAGAAGAACAGGAGAAGTAGAAGGCTTGACTTGCCATGTTAGCAGCCAGAACACATCAGATAAAATATATAATTGATTTTGGTTTGCTATAGAAGGGAGCTTAAAAAGCCTGCAGTTGGACTTTAAGAATATATAAACATAAAGTTTATAGGGGAACTTTATATTCTGGATAGCACAGATTTCAGCTGGGATAACTC